CAGTACAATGACACTGGCCTCCTTGATATTCTACCAAAAAAGACAATCCATATCTTGGTTCTGGGCATTTCTCTCTTACTATCCTCCATGTCTGCAATGCTATGTATCCTCTACTCTAACTACTGACCTTCCTGGATTCCTTTAGGTCCCAACTAAAATCTCACTTTCTACTTCAAGTTTTCCCCAACCTCTCTTAATTCTAGTGCCTTCCCTTTGTTGATTATTTCTTATTTATCCTCTACATAACTTGCTTTGTATATATTTGTTTGCATGTTGTCTCCCCCATTAGATTGTAAGCTCCTTGAGGTCAAGGACTGTCTTTTGCCTCTCTTTGTATTTCTAGCGCTTAGCACAGAGCCTGGCATATAGTAGGCAGTTAATAAATGTTTATTGATTGATTACTAATTGATGCCTGGAATTTAGTTTTTCCTCCCGTCCACTTCCTAGAATCTCTTGCCTCCTTCAAAGCTCAATGCAAAGTCACCCCTATCCATGGTGCCTTTTTAGATCCCTCCACATCTGCTAATATCTCCCTCATAAAATGAGCCCACATTTACGAAAAGGTTTTGACAAAGAATGTTAATTTATGCCAGAAACTCTACAATGTATAGGCATAATGGGCTTTTTTAATATTATAAAACATTTCTAGCTAAAACCAAAAGTAAGCATCATATGCAACACGGATATACCGCATTCTCCAAGAAATACAGGAGTAAACAAGAATGTCCATTTTTCCCGATATCATTTGATACAGTTCTGGAAATGCTAGCAATAGCAAAAGACAAGAAAAAGAAATTAAAGACAGAAATATAAGTAAAGAGGAGATAAAACTAACCCTATTTGCTTATGGCATGATGTTTTATTTAGAAAATCCTAGAGAATCCACAAAGATTAAATTGAAACAATAGCTTGAGCAAAATTGCAGATGTCAAAATAACCCTTCCCCCCCAAAGCAGCAGCATTTTTACATAATAATAACAACAAAATCCAAAAGCAATAGGGAAATGCTATTCCAATTAACTACAAAATGCATAAAATATTTGGGAATAAATCTATTAAAGCACATTTATTACTTGTATAAATTCAACTACAAAGTATTCCTTGAACTGGACAAATAGTCAGCACTAATGGCTGGGCTGGGCCAATATAACAATAAACATGACAATATCATCAAATCATATTATTAAAGTTAATTTATGCTTTTAACTGTACCTATCAAATTATCAAAGGGATATTTTATGAAACTTAATAAAATAACAAAAATCATTTGGAAAAATAAAAGATCTAGAATATCAAAGGAAATAATGAAAAGAGGCAGGAATAAAGGACGGTTAGCCCTTAAAGGCATTAAACTATATTACAAAGCATCAAAACCATCTGATATTAGTTTAAAAAAGAGATAGAGCAATGGAACAGATGAGACAAGGGAGAAGCAGAAACAATGGAATTCAATGACCAAGTGACTGTTTGATAAACTGGAAAACCTAAATTAGGAAAGAATTCCCTATTTGAAAAAAAAATGCTCCGTACACTAGAAAGCAGTTTGGCAGAAATTACATTTAGATCATATCAGTCCAAATACCTTACTCCATATTTCATAATACGTTCTAAATGGATACGTGGCCTTGATCATATCTTTTTAAAGATCATATCTTTTAAAGATCATATCTTTAAAAAATTAGAAGGGAAGCAGATAATATACCTTCCACAACTATAGGGAAGAGATGTATTCTTACCTAAACAAAGGATATAGGTAATTACAAAAGATAAAGTAGAAAACTTTGATTATGTGAAATTAAGAGGCTTCTGCACAAATGAAATTAATGCACCTAACATACAAAAAGAAGTAGTCAAAAAATCTTTATATCAAATTTCTCTGATGGGGTATATCTAGATAAAGAGAGATAGATAGAAAAATAGATTTATAAATGATCAAAAGTAATCCCCAATAGATAAGTGGCTAAAGACCTGAATAAACAGTTCTCAAAATGAGAACTGCAAACTAAATGAGAGAGATCTAAATCATGAATAATAAGAGAGATTCAAATCAAATGAACCCTGAAGTTTTACCATATACCCTGCAAGATGACAAAGATGATAAAAAATTGGGATGGTTAATGTTGTACGGGTTATGGGGAAATTGGCACACCAATGCCTTGTTGGTGAAGTCGTGAATCAGTACCACCATTTTGGAAAGCAATAATTTGGAATTATGAGAATAAAGTGACTAAAATGTCATACCTTTTGACCCAGAGATTCCATTACTAGGCTTATACCCCAAGGAAGTCATTGACAAGAAGAAAAGTTCCACTATCCACCAAAATATTAATAGTAACACTTTTTGGTTTAGAAGAGAATTGGAAATAAAATAGATGACCATTGATTGAGGAATGGCTAAGCAAACTATGGCATATAAATGTAATGGACTATTACTAAGCTATAAGAAATTACAAATATGATGAATATAGAGAAGAATACAAAGAGCTATATGAACTGATGCAAAACGAAGTAGGTGGAGCCAAGAAAACAAAATATACATTGACTATAACAATGTAAACAGAAAGAACAACCACACACACACATCAAAAGTGAAAGATTACAAAGAACAAACTTGACTCCAAGGAGAAATGTGAGAAGACACTCTTACCCCACTCCTTTGCAGAGGGGTAGTTTCACAGGTGTAGTACACTGTGCATATTTTCAGACTTTTTCTGATTTGACCATTTTATATTGACCATTTTGCAGATTTTTATTCTTTTTAATTTTTTTTCTTATAAACATTGTCATATTGTTTTTCATATGGAATGACTCTATGGGAGGAGAGAAATTTTGATGATGTTAAAAAAAAACAAACAATAAAAAGTCATTTTAAAATTTTTCCCTGCATTTACTTTGTGTATATACTTCTACATGGACAAGTTGCTTTTCCCATTAGAATGTATGCTCTTTGAGGGAAGGGGTCGTTTCACTTCTGTCTTTGTATCCCCAGGACCAGCACAGTGCCCGGCACCTAGTAGGTGCTTACTTAATAAATGCTTGTTGATAAATTGGTGATTGATTGATTACTTTCTTCTGCACTGCCCTTACTGCCTGACCATAGTTGCACTCATGGAAGGAGCTTTTGAAAAGGGTAAATGCTTCAGTTCTATGGTCAGACTTTTCTTAGTTTAAAATACATTGCCTTTTTCTTTAAAATACTGGGAAGGGTCCAGCCACAGGATGCATTAGAGAGAATCAAGCTCCTTCCCTCCCCCTCAGGCATTCCATCAAGCAAATGCTTCAGGGCACCTAAGCCCCCATGCATTTTATTTTCTCCCTTATTCCTTCATGCTGCTCAGGCAAAGCTCCTCACCACTCCCTTCATCTGTTGTTCTCACTCCCACCTCTTCACCTTCTGTTATACTGCTCCTTCTGCCTGGAATGCTCCCCTAGCTCCTGCCTGCCAAATTCTCTCCTTTCCCTCACTAACAATATCACATCCTCTCCTAACTTGCATCATTTCTTAAGAGGAAAGAAAAGTGACAAATTTTCTCTCTCTCTTTCTCTCTGTGTCTCTCTTGTCTCCACAGCCATTATTTCCTCAGCTCCTTTTTCTATCCAAGTCTGACTGATCCTCCCTCACCATGGGTGTCTCAACTCTCTACACAGAATGGGCTACCTGTCATTAATTCATAGCCTGTGCTCTTGCTGTAGTTTTCTCCCTTGGCAAGTACAGTTGAGAGCAGATCTACAAATCTATTTGAAGCTTGCTTGGTCAACATCCCTGAGACCTTATTACACTTGTAGATGTTGAAGACTTGGCTGAACTGCCTTGGTTCTTAAGTAAGGCCATAGCTAGCCATAACTGTTACAAATTCAGTTAAGGGGAGGAGGAGGCTAATGTTACAGAGGACAGTGGGGAGGTTATGTTGTCAGAGAGGACAGTCCCACCAAGGAAGGAGACAACTAATCCCCCAAACCTTATCACCTTTCAGGAGGTAGGGTTTATGCAGAAAGAGAGAGAGCCACCACAACAATGTTGTGTTGGGGTTTTGGAGCACTTAGAAAGGAGATGTGGGAGGGGTAGCTAATTCCTTGAGTAGCTTCAAACAATTTCAGTAAGGGATCTTGACTCCCCTTAGCCTTATTTATGTGATCCAATTATGGGAATGTCTTTGATCCAATTAAGAAAGAAGTTTCTATTCACCTTTGACTAGATTGAAAGGGGAGTAATTAAAGAGAGAATAATTGGTTTCAGGGAGATATTTTCTCTAAGCATAAGCTGGCATTAACATTATTATTAGCCTTTAGCAAATCAAAAATCCTAAACTATGTTTTTTTCATTTTAAACTCCCAATCTCTCTCCAAGCAGAAAGGCTTGCATTGTTGTTGTAAAATGCTTTGTAACCCTTTATGTACTGTGTAAATGTAGGGTATCTATGACAATGACTAAATCAGGTGGATGACATTTATCTCTTGGCATCAGACAGACTTTACTTAAGATGACCCCTCAAGCCACCACATTGACTATGCTCCCAGAGGGCATGGGGCTGTGTCTTGTTCTTTTTCAGGTCTCCCACAGTACCTAACCTGGTGCCTTGTACATAAATATCTGTCTGCTTGAATACTGCCACCCTTCCCCCTCCTCTCCATTCAAAGGTCATCTGGAAAGTTCTCCATCTTTACTGATAAAAGGAAACCAAATGTACAGGAATCATAGATTTAGAGCTGGAAAAGACCTCAGAGGTCAAGTTCAACTCCCTCATTTTACAGATAAAGAAAGTGAGGCCCATGGAGGTTAAGTGACTTACCCAATATCACACAGCTAGTAAGTGTCAGAGGTAGAATCTGAACCCAGCTCCTCTGACCCCAAAGCCCGTGATCTTTCCACATACCACACTGCCTCCTCTTAAATTCATTTTTATGTGGGTTGAAAAAACTTGAATTAACTTCTCAAAAATGAATTTTCAAGGTTATCTCAGTGAAAACATATTCTTCCATAGAGAAATGACAAGACTCACCTTGATTTTTCAATGGTAAAGGCATAGTCTCCCTGAGTTTGCTTAAAAGGTTTTTCATTTCTCGCATGTCTCTGCACGAATGACAAACACATTGATGATAGAATTAGTCAGTATAAGCTTTAAGTACAAATGCTTTTAGATAGTTTTTATTCATTTCCTTTAAGAACCAGGTAGAGCAGAGGTTCTTATTTTCATTTGTGCCACGGACCCCTTTGGTAATCTGGTGATGCCTATGGACTTCTTATCAGAATAATGCTTTTAAATGCATAAAATAAAATATATAAGATAAGAAAGTAAATCAATTATATTGAAATATAGTTACCCAATTTTTATTTTTCAAACAAGTTCGTAGATCCCAGATCAAAAAGCCCTGAGTTAGAGAATAAGGATGTGGGTAATAGCTTTCTTACTATAAATATTGTTTCACATTTCATGTCAAATAAACATCTGGTTTCAAATGCAATTAATTAGTGATTTGGTGTCAGAAAGATCTGAGGTCAAATCCTGCTTTGGACACTTTGGACACAGCTGTGTGACCCTGGGCAAGTCACTTAACTTGTTTCAGCCTAATTTTCCTCTTAGAAAATGAGGAAAACACTAGAAACTCTATTATGGAATTGTAGTGAGGACTGAATGAGAACGTCCACGGAACAGTGGTGGCTGTCGGTATTGCTGAGGTCCCAGCACTGAAGGGAACTTCCCGAGGATGCCACAGAAGGACTTCTATCCAAACAGCAGCTGTTAAGTTAGTCCTTTGCCACACGTGCTCTTTAAGCTCAGGCCCATTTCCCCCTAGACACTGTATGTGCTTGTATCTGCCCCAGACTTTTTTGGAGAAATTTTTTTAACCCACTTTTCTTACTATTCTACCCTAGTAAATATTGGTTTCTAAATAGTGAATAATCAATCAATGAGGAGTGGGTTTGGGAGGGGGGGAAGGACAGCACATCAGATTAGGACAGTAGTGTTAGAAATCAACCTGAATCCCTTAGGGTTAACCCTAGAATCCAGAGAGAAGGACCTGTAAGGATATGACCTACTGGTGCCACTGGGGTGTTGGAAGGAAGGAAGAAAACAAACATTTATTAAATGCCTACTATATACCAGGCACTCTGCTAAGTACTTTGCAAATCCTATCTTATTTGATCTTAACAACAGCCCTGGGAGGTGGGTGCTATTATTATCCCATTTTACAAAAAACTGAGGAAACTGAGGCAGTCAAAGGTTAAGTAAGTGATTTGCCCAGGTGGACACAGCCAATAAGTGCCTGAGGTCAGATTTGAACTCAGGTCTTCCTTATGCCAGGTGCAGTGCTCTATCCACTGTATCACCAGCTGCCAGTTTGACAGAGCTGGCCCAAATACTCTGAAAACCTTAAAGTACTATATCAATGATCTAAAAGGCAGGGTGGTGTGATATACAGCATGCTGGGCCTAAGGCCAAGAAGACCTAAGGTCAAATATGATCCTCAGACACTTAATAGCTGTGTGACCTTCGGTAAGATACTGATCCTCTACCTGCCTCAATTTCTTCAATTGTGAAACGGGGATAAGAATAATACCCACCTCCCAGGGTTGTCATGGAGGTAAAATGAGATGTTTGTAAAGCACTTTGTAAACCTTAAAGCACTATATGAATGCTAGCTGTTAGTTATTAACTATTTTATAAGTGTAAACTATGGTAATGCAGCCAGATATTGAGGTTTTTTTTTCTTTTCCTAGAGAATGTCCTCAGCTGGGGGGGGGGGGGCGTCCTCTGTCCATACTTTCGGTAGTGTTCCTGCCATACACGACCTTTCTCTTCTGCACCCTAGCCTGAATCTTGTTGATCCTAGAGACAAGTCTTTTATAAGGTAAAAAATGCAATTACAATTTATAAAGGATGCTAGAGTGTTGACAAAATTAATGCTAAAACTTGATCCAGGATGATACTTCTGTTATGAAAACATCAGAGTTCCTTTTGTTAGTAGAGTACTTTTCAATGTCCAGTTTTATAAACTTTCCTCCCTCTGATCCTTACAACTGAGGCAGACAAGCAGGCCAGGCATTAGTTCCATTTTTCGACATATGAGAAAATTGAAACTCAGAGAGGTTGCAACTTCACCAAGTTATATGTTTTCTGAAGCCCTAGATTAGCCTTCTCACTTTCTTCATAATGAGTACTCACAAAATTACCTTGCCTGTCCTTAAACTAGCCCATTTCTCTCTTTCTATTTGGTTGGATGTAGAACTGAATTTCTTATTCCAATGACCTGCAGAAAAAGCAGATTCATACATTCTTCTCTCCTACAAAGCTGTGCGAAGTATTAAGCTAATATTGCTCGGAGGAAGCTGTATACTCAGTATAGCCATATGGGAAAGAAAGCATTTCTGGAGGCAGAAAACAAAAACTAATCAATTCACAAAAATATTTGGCATCTTTATCCACAAATAGTGGGGACGAATCTGAAGATACTGTCTGTAAATAACATTAATTCATGGAGGAATAAGGTAAACCTCGAGGTTCTGTGTTAGGGGAAAAGTTAGGATGATCAGGCCCTTAATATGAATTAGAGTCCATGATCCCTATGCCCAACCTTCTTATTTTACAGATAAGGGAAATTAGGTCCATAGAGACCCAACAAGTGAATGTGAAAGCTGGAACTTCCATAAATTCCAGTCTTTTAACTCTCATCCTGGTGCTCTTTTAATTATACCACACTGTTCCCCACTACACCATTAACTTCTCAAGAGCAGGGCCATGAGTTCATAAATGCCCACAGCTCCTTCTCACATATTGTCATTAAATAGTCAATATTTAGTGTATACTAATTGACTCTGAGAGGTCAAAAGGTCCTTAGGAATAAGAACCTGGGAAAATGGCAGAATATAATTAACTCCATGAGAACTCAATTCTATTTGTCCCCTCTGTCCTTAATGACCCTTATGAGGAAATTCATGTTAACTGACGGGTGGGGGCCAGAGTGCCAGTGTTAGAATATATTTTTTAAATTTTTCAATTTTTTTTCAAATCCATATTTTTCTACAGTTTGATTTTTTTATATAACCTCTGAATCTGATAGCTGACTTATAAGGCTTCTGAATAAGGAAATGAATCTAGCCAAGGTAAATTTGGCAAGAAGCTGATTTTGTGACAGTGGAGAGGAAGGGGGGAGGGAGTGGCAAGCAATGCTTAAACCTTTCTCTCATCAGAATTGGCTCAAAGAGGGAATAATATACATACTCAGTTGGGTATAAAAATCTATCTATAGAATAGATATATGTGTATATATATATACATACATATCTACAAGGAAGTAGGAGAGGAGAGAAATAAAAGAAGAGAGGGGAAAGGCTGATAGAAGGGAGGATGGATTGGGGGAAGCAGTGGTCAGGAGAAGCTGATTTTATAGGGAACAGACCCTGGGGAGTGCTTCTTAAACCACAACCCACAGTTTAAGAAGTGCTGAATGGGTCATGAATGGAAAAAGTTTAAGAAACCCTGGACTATAAAATTCTCTGTTTTTCCAGTGAAAAAAGAAATCATCCTTAATAATCTGTCTGTAGAGTACTATCACTTTCATCAAACAGCTTCAGTGCTTGAATTGTTAAATTTTCATGCTCTACAAAGTGAGAGTTTTATCAATACCTCATAATTACCACATACGCATTTTTTCTATAAACATGGAAATTTGGTAATTAGCTTTGTAATTGTATTACAATTTGGAAGTAGAAATGCAAAGAATACAAATACAATTATGTCTTAACCTTATAAAAATAATAAAATAAAATGTTCATTACTTCGTTGATAATTCAACCCACCTGCAATACTCCCAACACATCTTACTCCTTGGAACTGTCCTATATTCAATCAAGTTGCTCTGTGCCAGCTTTGGGGATTAGAGAACTGGGTTATTTGGGTCATAGGATCACAGAGGGGAGAGCTGAAAAGGGTCTTTGGAGGCCAGCTGGTCCAATTACCTCATTTACAGGTGAGGAAACTGAGGTGAAGCAACCTGTCCAAGGTCAGAGAGTTAAGAGTTTCTATTTAAACTCTGGTTCTCTGATTCTAAATCCAAAGCTCTTTCCTCAGCGTGTGTCTATTAAGGACACTACACAGAGAGGTTTTTAGCAGAATAGAGGATGGGTAGCATCCTAATGAGATATATAGAAACATGAGAAAATGAGGAATATGGGATATGCAGGAATATGAAGGACCAAGGAGAGGAGTCCACGGGAGTTAGCTGCCCAAGGCACACAGAGGTTAAACAACATGCCCAAGGTCACACAAGGAACATGGGTTAGAGGTGGGGCTTCCACCTAGGTCTTCCTGATGCTAAGCCCAGCACTCTCTCAACCTGCCAGGCTGTGTCTAGTAAAATATATCAACATATTAAGTAATCTACACTATTATCAGAAGCAATTAGGTGGTTTGGTGGGTAGAGCGCTGGGCCTGAAGTCAGGAAGATCTTAGTTCAAATCCAGCCTCAGGTAATTAGTAGCTGTGTAACTGTGGACAAGTCACTTAAACTCTGTATGCCTCAGTTTTCTCATTTGTAAAATGGGGATAATAATAGCACTTAGCTTGCAGGGTTGTTGTGAGGATCAAATGTGATAAAATTTGTAAAGCACTTAGCACAGTGCCTGGTACATAGTAAGTGCTATATGAATATTAGCTATTGTTATGGTTTTCTTTTACCCAAATGAAATAAAAACATTGGGTTATTTTCTAAGATGTCACTTACTTCCTGGCAGCCAAGGAGGTTCAGAGAAATAGCCTCTTCTTGAGGCAGGTAGTTCAGTAGATAAAGCACTAGGCCTGGAGTCAGGAACAACTGAGTTCAAATCTGACCTCAGATACTAGCTGTGTGACCCTGAACAAGTCACTTAACCTGTGTGCCTCAGTTTCCTCAACTGTAAAATGGGGATCATAATAGCACTTCCCTCCTGGGGTTGATGTGAGGATCATATTACTTAATATTTGTAAAGAGCTTAGCACAGTGCCTGGCACATAGTGAATGCTGCTTCCCCTTTCTTATCCCTTCCTCTTATCTCTCCCAATGACTGCCATGTGGCATATAGATAACTAAAGTCTGGGCATCAACTAGAAGTAGCCTCATCTAATCTTCTGGGTCCCCAACCCCTTCACAGCTCTTGTCCAGAGTAAACTAGAAACAATCAGGGGATCTCAATCCCACAAGAGAATTCCTTTAATCCCTTTACAAAGAAACATAATACATTTCAACTTCCCTGGGGATGCAGTAATGTATAGTGGACCCAGGGTTTCAGTTTTTGGCATCGATTCTGACACTAACGTGCTATGTGACTTTGGACTAGATCCTTTACTATTCTGGCCTGATGGTGCATCATCTGAAAAACACAGGGGTTTGAGCAGATGATCAAGTCCCTCCCAATTCTAGAATACTATGGCAGGCAGAAGAAAAGTCTGCTTTCTAAGACCTGGGTTAAGATGTCTCCACCCCCTGTGTCAGGCAATGCTGTAATTTGGGAGATAAGTTGTTCCCTAAATGCAGAGCTATCCTTCTAAGACCACTTACCTTTCAGTATTCTCAATATCCGTGGAAACCTGCCAGGAATGGTGCTGAATGTCTACTGGTGAAGATAGCGTGTCCTCTAAAATGGGAACTTCTGGACCCTCTTCAGTTTTGCATTCTGGGCTCTTGATCCCCATTCCAGGCTCCTTTCCTAAGGAAGGAAAATGTGAGGAATCATAAATATAAGTTCTATAGTAAGCATTAGTTTCTAAGAGGGGCTATACATTTGGTTGAAGATAACTGTGTTGTTGTTATTGTTACTGTTGTTAAGTTGTGTCCAACTCTTTGTGACCCCATTTGAGGTTTCCCTGGCAAAGATACCAGAGTGGTTGGCCATTTCCTTCTCCAGTTCATTTTACAGATGAGAAAACTGAGGCTAACAGGGTTAAGTGACTCACCCAGGGTCACCCAGCTGGTAAGTGTCTGAGGCTGGATTTGAAATCAAGAAGATGAATCTTCTTGAATCCAGGCCCAGCTTTCTATCCACTATACCACCTAGCTATACTTATTATTAATTAACTACTTTATTAGTTTTGGTAAACATTTCTACTTATACACATATACACATATCTGTATATATTTATACACACATGGATATGCATATATCCATATATGTACAGTACAAGTACACATATACATATGAGTATATATGTACATATGTATACGATAACGATATCAAACTCTGTGTGCATATGTATGTATACATGCATGCATGTATTATTGGATCTGTCTAGAGAGCTTCCACAGAGTAATTCTCACTATCAATGCAGATATGTATGTATGTATGCATATAAACATTTCTATATGTATGTATAACACAAGCATTTATTAAGTACCTACTAAATTCCACACACCGTGCTAGGTCCTGGGGATACAAAGACAAAAGTAAATAGTCCCTGCCCCCAAGAAGCTTACATTCTTCTTGAAGTGGATAAAACATGTCCTCAGATAAGTACATACAAGCTCTATACAAAATCAACAATATATAGTTACTTAGGGGAGGTCACTAACAGTTAGGAGAAATAAAAAAGGTCTCTTAAAGGAAGTGGCTCTTCAGCTGAGCCTTGAAGAGACTCAGAAGTTCCAAGAGATGGAAATGAAGAGGGAGAGCACTACAGACCCAGGGACAGCTTGTGCAAATACTTGGAGGCTGGAGATTGCAAGACATGTATGAGGAAGAACAAGTAGACTAGTTTGACTGGAATGTAAAGTACACGAGGAAGAATAATGTATAATCATTTTGGAAAGCCAGGCTAGAAACAGATTATGAAGGATTTAAAATGTCCAATGGAGGGTTTGTATTTTATCTTACTGCAGAGACATACTGAAGCTTCTTGAGCAAAGGAATGATATAAAAAACTATGTATACTATATATACATGGTTTTTACATATATGCATATAAATATATAAAATATATGTGCGTATGCACACACACACACACACACACACACATACACAATGAAGTGTTAAAGCAAAGCCAACTTTTGAGAACTAAACAGAGACAATGTAACATCAATATAAACTGAAGACTCAAATATAATTAACAGCTCCCCAGAGAGCAATGGTATTTCTCAACTTGGTCTTGATGTGTGAGACCAGGTTTGCTGCTTTTGGAATAGTGATTTACAGCCACCAGACCCGAGTGTATATGAATGGCCCTGAGGCCCAGGCACTGTTGTTGCAGGGCAGGAGGATGCTCATGAGCATTCAATGGGGACAAAGATGCCGCCGATTCCTTGAACTTCTCCTCTCCTCAACTGGTTCACCCAACAATAGATGTGCCACTGAATATATATTCGAACTCCCATGTCCTCTGTTAGGTCATTTAATCTGCTATGAGCATTTGTGAAGGTGATCTAAGAGGGGGCAGTACAGTAGGATGAAATGAAGGATGGACAGGGAGTAAGGAGACCACATCTACTCCTGGCTCAGCTATTAATTGCCTGTGTGATCTTAGAAGAAATCACTTCATCTCTCTGACTCTCAATTTCCTCATCTGGAAACCAAGAGGGTCATACTACATGAGAGGTTGGTAAGCTATTACCTGCTGGCCAAATCTAGCTCAGTGTTTCTGTAATGCCCTTGGGCTAAGAATTAAAATAAAGTTTTAATAAAATAAGAATTAAAGTTTTATTGTATTTAAAATTAAATTCATTTTATTAAAAATTACATATATATGTATATATAAAGAGAGAGAGTATTAAAATAAATTCTTAGCTCTGCAGAAGGTCATAGTTGGTCAGAGTTGGCCAGCCTCTAGACTAGAGGAACTTTAAAGTCTCTGCTCCAACATTCAGCATTTCTTAAACTGGGAAAGAAACAGTTTATTTCTCTACTTTTTCAACTAGTAGTATTAGTATTGTATATATATGACTTCAACAATTCTTCAGGGACTATAGTATAAAAATATATCTCAAGGGTAGATTATAGTTAGAACTTAATTAATTTATTTTTAGTTCTATTGGTGCCTTTTGTTTTTACACTACAATAATTTTCCAATAGGCCTCCCCTCCCTCTTACCTTGAACCACTCTTTGTAATAAAAGCATATCACAAAATAACAGACATGATGACTATATCTGACAATGCAACATTATGTACTTGCATTCTTCCATATCTCTACCAAGAAAAGCAAAGTGTGATTCATCATCTGTTATTCAGGACCATGAATGGTCATTGCAATTATTGGAATTATGCTTTTTTTTTATCATTGTTATAATTTACATTTTTATAGTCATTGTACATATTGTTTCTACTTTTCTCACTCTTTAGACAAGGTGGTATAGTGAAAAGACTGCCTATCTTGGAGCCAGAAGACATGGTTTCAAATCCTAACTTTGCCACTTAGTATCTGTGTGACCTTAAGAAGGTCACTAAGTTTCTCTGGGTTTCAAATTGCTCATCTGTAAAATGAGAGGGTTAGACTAGACCACCTCTAAGGTCCCTCCCTAAATCTACGAGCCAGTGAGCACTGGTTCATGTCTTTCCATGATTAAGTAGATTCCTTATAGTCTCTATTTCTAATAATATGATGAGATTCATTACATCTCTATAAAACAACTATTTTAGCCTTTCTCCCAAACAATGTGAACTGCTAGACCCTTTTCTTGTTTTGATATAATTACTTCTGTTTGAAAGAAATTTTTGCCAGATGGAGTAGGTATTTTCTAGTTGCAGAGAAGAGGCAAGAAATTTCTCTCAGAGGCAGCTGAGGTGGAACAAGCTCTGGATTTAGTCAGATATGGGTTTCAGTCCTGGTGCTTGGGCTTACTAAGCTGCATGAGCTTGGATAAATCACTTAAATGGTGTGAAGCTCAATTTCTACATATATAGAATTATGATTATAATCTCTTCCCTTCCTTCAAAATTCAGCTCAGTCACCACCATCCATGAAGCCTTTCCTGCTCCCCCAATTGCATGTGCCTTCCTAGCCCTCCGCCCCATCACCACCTGTACATATCTATATAACACCTTGTTAGAATAATTAGCTCATGTGAAGCCTAAGGGTAATATAATAGTCCCTCCTGTCTATGTGGTTCCATCCTCTGCTGCTTTGGTGAGCTTATATTAAAAGAAATTCTATTCAAAGAAATTAGAACAACAATCACAGTTACTCCCAGTACCTAGTTAGTGTGGAAAATTCCTAACATTTAGGCAGAGATTTGGCACTCTGCTTTAATTTACATTTACATTTGTTTTATACGTATATTTGTTGTTCATTTGTTTCAGTTGTGTCAGATTTTTCGTGACCCCATTTGGGGTTTTTTTGCAAAGACACTAGAGCGGTTTGCATTTCCTTCTCCAGTTCATTTGGCAGATGAGGAAACTGAGGCTAACAGGTTGAAGTGACTTGCCCAGGGTCACCCAGGTAGGGAGTATCCGAGGCCAGATTTGAACCCTGGAAGATGAGTTTTCCTGACTTCTGACCCAGCACTCTAGCCAAGGCACCACCCAGCTGCCCTTGTCACAGTGACTATAACATTAAAGCAATACTAACGTCTGTAGGCTATACAAAATTGCCCAATCACAATCCTCATAGTTAAGAAAAAATGATGCAGAATTCAGAAACTACAACATATAAGTGATGCTGAAACAAAACAAATAAATGTATAAGAGGAAAAAAAAAACAGGAGCACACAGCAATGCAATGTGTCAGTGAACATATGTAATTACATGTAAGGCAAACATTGCTTGGGCAAGCATTGGCATTAAACCTAGGGGAGAATGGAAGGGTAGCAGGTCAGTCTAGTCAGTGGTGTTAGACTCAAATAGAAACAGATCTCTGTGCACTGCACATTGACTTAGAAAGCCACAAAATAACATTACCTTCTTTCGTTTATTTTGTTAAATATTTCCCAATCACATTTTAGGCTGATTCCTGCATGGGGCTGTGAATTTGCTACCTCTGGACTCTAGATAATTATCCTACCCCACTTAAAGTAGATAAAAATATGCTACACTCCGATATATTTATCAGAAAAGATCCCATGTTGATTTTCACAAGGTGTGAACATGAACTAGATATTTCTCTAGCCGCAACAGAAAGTCTGTTCAAATTGGCTGAGGGACTTGGCCACACCCTATGGGGCCTGTATAAAACCATCAAGCTAGTTGGCATAGTGGCGTCAAGTGGTTGGCAGTAAAGAGGAGAGACTGTGCCAGCTGAACCCCTGAGAAAGAATCCATTAGTGGGGAGGAGCAGAGCCCAAGGAACCTGTCTCAGGTTCTGTCTTCTTCCCAACCCCCTTGGCTGGAGGGGCATCTGAAGGGTGTAGTTTTTACCTTGTAGTTTTTACCTTTACAAGCAACCTCCCCAATGGCTGATGGCAGGCATGGTGGACATCGGAAACCAAGAATAGACTAGATTCAATTAGGAAAGCAAAAGCAAGTCTCTATAAAGAACCTAGCAGAAAAGCAAAACCATACCTAGGGAAAACATTTTGGGAACTCCAGCAAAAGGGGCTCAAGGAGCAGTGAGTTACCCCTTTGTCACCTGTCCTCTTTAAGCTTGAGCCAACTTTCTCCCGGACTCTGCATGTACTAGTGGGAGCAGGTGTCACAGACTTGGGGGAACGTATGTACCACCTGTACCAATAATACCACTGCACTAAATACCCCTTTCTAAAAGAACCTTAAAAGTCTGGTTGACTT